AGTGTTTTATATTACATATAATTGGCCACATTATAGGGTTATTTCGAAATCTTCAGCTGTAGGCAACAACTTACATAGAATCATTAAAGTTCCCAACGACTCCTGGAGATTCCCCAGGGGTTGGGTGTCGGAAGCATGGATTGTTGGCATTGCAGACAATGCCCTGGATCCAGGGCAGGGTGCCTGCTGAGGGCATGGCTTTATTGGGAAAGTGACCTGTAACAAATAAAGGAAGACAAAATGAACTACCTCATTGAAGAGGGTTGAAAAGAGAGTTTCCACATTAAGGCTTTCTTGGAGAGCAGAAGAGAAGAAAGTGTACACGATAAAACCAGCATAATCAAGACACTGACATAGACTGATGATATCAGAAAAGTTGCAAAAAAGCTTGTTTTCCAGTAAAACCACAATCCCTCTCTTTTTTCCCCTAGATAATGCATTCTCGACTTCAAAAGTGCATCTACTTCATATATGATGATTGATCCTGATAACAGGGATACGTTATCAGATTGACATCCAACTGCATGGACATGATGTGCCAGATGAGATTTTCCTTACTTCTACATCCCAGTGCTGCGGCCCATCCCCATATACAGTCCAGATAATTGATGTGTACCCTTAGACTGCCTTATCTTCCCACAGACCTAAAAAACATCAGCAAATAACTCTAACTCCCTGGAGCATGCGTACTCTACGAGGGGACCTTATCGAGTGATTACCTAAGCAGTATATGTGACCTATGTCCCCCCACAGTCTCACTGTTATTTCTGTAATGAGTCTAATATGTCGGTCTGCTATCAGTCAACCTTAAGACTGCCAGCTGCTCCACTGCTGAGCACAGCAAAGATAAGATAATACTTAAAGGGGTCATATGATGCGATTTCAATTTTTCCTTTCTCTTTGGAGTGTTACAAGCTCTTGGTCCATAAAGAAGATCTGTAAAGTTGCAAAGACTAAAGTCTCAAATCCAAAGAGATATTCTTTATAAAAGTTAAGAGTCAGCCACACCTACCTAAAACGGCTCGTTCTAACACACCCACACATTTCTACCTCACTATGTGGGAAGATTTGCATAACACCGCCCAAATGTTCACACAAAGAAAGAAGGAGTAACTTTTATTCTCGCTGTAATATTGAAAAGTGAAAAGTGAAAAAGTGAAAAGTGACGTGACATGTGGCCAAGTATGGTGACCCATACTCGGAATTAGTGCTCTGCATTTATCCCAT